GGAAATATGGAAATTAAACAACCAGTATTATAAAGTAATGCAAGCTGTTCATCTGACAAGAAAGTGTGGTTGTCAGAGGATCCTCCACCAACCATTAGACAGGGATGACTAGAGCTCCGTGGTATTTCGTCGTATCTTTTGCGCTTTTTGTATTTTTTGACGTGTTACGAAAGGATTTTTGAGCACTTTAAAGGCACGGTCCGCGATAAAAAGCCTGGGTGATGTTGCAGAAATGTGGAAGAAAATTCGCCAAGTGAACCATCTATGAAGAGAAAATGCCAAAGGGAACGTTGGAAACGCATTCGTCAGGCCTCCTCTAGCCTCAAACAACTGTAGAGGTAAAAGACCGAAAAGACCGCGCGCTGGGACGATTCCCGTCGGCTGATTCCCAGTAATGAACCTTATGACTCTACAAGAGATACTGAATGCGTCCACTCCATGATACTTGCCCGGGAGCATTACTTTTGGCTGGAAGGCCGACTTTGGAGGCGGAGTCACTGGAAAAAGGGATGTACCACTGAAGCAACTTTGCGCCTTAATTCCTTTACCGTACAACTTTCCGCCGCGAAACTGGCACAGGGTTGTCCACTCCGGACCGCACTACCTTCCCACATAACCTCTTGCATTTTCATAGGTCATCGCGGACCGTTCCTTTAAGCAGTGATCTCTTAGCGGGCCCATCTGTCCTTTGCTATTTGGTGATCGTAGAAGAAAGCCGCCCAAATATGTATGGTTTTCGTTTGTCAAGCCGGTTTTTCAATAACAGTTTATCGTTAACTGGACCAATTTTGAAAATTACCTATATTGATCGCTCTGATCGACAGCGGAAACCGGATAGAGAATGAGATCGGAGCATCGTGCGCCGACATTACCTGAAACGGAAGTCAATTTGAGTAATTGGTCCGATTAAATAATTGATTTCTGACTGTTAGTCTAGCAGGATTGAGTGGGTGTCGAGGAATAATCAACGGCATGAGGGAGCGGGTTGTATTTGGCTGTGGCCACTGAAGAATAAGAATAAATAGCATTTGGTGTTTGCCCTGGATTTAGTGTTTAATTTTTTTCTTTCCATTGCGCTACAGTTCCTTCTCTTCTCCCCCCCCCAATCGAGTAGTGCTGAGGGATAACGAAGAAAGAAAAATCAACAAAAGAAGAAATCGGCAACAAGGATGTATCCTGAGGAGTAGAAAATATTCCAAAAAAGAGAGGAAAAAAGGCTCAGCAGACGAAGCCAAAAGGCTGTGAGCCGAAACCATGAAATGGGAGGCTGCTGATATTTGACTATGTCACCCAAGAAGAAGAGAAAAGGAAGGGACTAGGAGGTGGTCGCCGGTCCTTCTTGAAAATGGTCGGAATTTGACCTTCAGTATCACTGAGGGAAAGTGTTCGCATACAGATGAATCCCGTCCGGGAATGGGCCAATATCTAACTTCCATTCCGAATCGTAGTGAAATCTCGAGTGCGACTTGGATCATACATATAGTTTGTTCGGTACAGATGATTGCACATTTGAGGCGGCTCAATTTGACGCGGCGTTATCTCGTTGCCCACCAACTGTGAAAGCTGGCAAGTGCCCATATTTGGTGGAGAACAGGCCAGCGTTGAGCCAAGTCGAGCCCCCCTCCCCAGTTCGTCCCAACGTCCGCGGCAAGCAGGACTGTATAAGGGCTAACGGGAATTGCCACCCTGTACGACGACCGTGGAAGCAGCCGCCCCCAGCATTATCGCAGATTTCGAGGACGAAAGTCTCTGGGCTACCCAAACTAGCTGAGAGGTCTTCGCACGTGGTCAGGCCACCGTCGACATCTTCGACATTTCAACCGTCGATGCGTTCGTATACGGTGACCTTCTGCGACCACTACAGTACCACATCCGTCGTCCGGAAAAATCTATCCAGTGCACCCTCCTTGAAGGGAATAGACAAATGGAGATCGAAACAAGTACAGTTATGATTACCCTTGGATCATTTGGGCTTTGGACAAAACCGCGGCGAGCACACACGCACCAGCGAAGCCCCCTCACTTGAACCACATCCAGGCTGCAACACACGCAGCCGCTCAAAGGTAGACGGAAGGCACCGAAAGTGCTCCGCCACCGCTTCCGATAGCCCCGGTAGCTCGACCAAACATTAATTGAATCAGCTTGAAGCTGTTCCACAGAAGCCGCTCTCTGAAAAATCCGATCATGAGGTTGCGTCAAGTAGGAAGATTACAGTAGAACTTTGAAGATTGAAATAGGATGACTGGCGAAAACCTTATTCCGAACTCCTCAGCTCTCCAAAACATAACTTCCAATGTGAATAATGTCCTTCAGAACAAGGCTCAACGTGAGGACAATCATTTCGAAAAAAAGCCTTATTCGAGAGTTATTATGAAGAAATGAGCAGTCAGCTGGGGCCCGCCGGCCATGAACGATGAGGGACGCGACTGAGCACAGAGAGCGATAGGCCGTCATGTCAACCGAATGAGTCGGCGCGCCGCCCACTTTCGAGGTACGGTGTAGGAGGACCGGATAATTGCCATTCCATTTGCTGACTCTCCCGACGCCGTGGAGACTCCGGTATTTTCGCCAAAGGATTGTTTCATAACAGACGAGGATTGGCTAGGTAAAATTGGGATGTTCTCATGGATGAAACGCGGCCATAAAAGGGAAGAACAGAACTCAATTATGATTTTTGGAGAATGAAATGGTTTCACAGTTCCACCGTGTTTGTTACATTCACCCACTCATGGAAACCCTCTCTGAGTTAGTGCCTTCGTAGGCACCACTGGGGCACCCAATTCCCTGTCCTTTAGCACTCTATACTTTCCTCCACATGCATCCCACCACGCTCTTGCCTTGCCTCGAATCTCCTGCTTTCCCCACATTAGACGACATGATAGTGGGGCAAGTTTGCCTCACCTTGGTCTCTCCAATCATAAAATCCATCAATATCCCCTATTCCAGAGATGTACAGCTCTTATCAAATGGACGCAAAGGGCAAAATGGGTTGAATGGGCAGAGAACTTACAATGGAAACGTATTCTTATCAGAATTAATGTAACAGTCCCCGCAACTAAAGCGATCCCTCCGTTTTCCATTAAGGAATACTCAACGCCATCCTTTTGGTAGGATTCGGTTTAGTCCTCGACAACCGAATCGACGGGAAATGTCACTGTGGGCGTGGATTTTGGAGCATTGCCAACTCATTTTCTACCAACTCAGCTCGCCTTGACTCTTAGAAAACGAGCTGGCGCCACGTCAAAATCCACGTCACACTGACACGCCTTGTCGATTTCATTGTTGAAGACTCAATCTCTTTTAATCTTTATTGAGATTTGCTATAAAAAGCAGCAACGGTCTTGTGTGCAAATGCCTGTCTTTCCCTCGGCCTGAGCCCTTTACGATGTGGATATTGTAAAAAACATGTAGGAGGACGTGAGTTCGACAAATACACTTCCGAAACTATTCTCATGTACCTTTCCAAATGCGCCATGTACATGATATCTCGCCACAAATGCAGACAAATCAATTAGGATCCGCGTACGACAACCTCAACATCTCATTCGCCACACAGCCCAATCCGGGCCAGAGCTCCCGATGTCCGTGGTACTAGATTGGCGGGAAAAGAATGAATAATGAAAAATTTACTTTCATAATTTTTGTGATCCTAAGCACTCACTGACTGCGGTTGATATGTGAATGATCAATCCTTATTTGTTCAAAGGTCTCGAGACCTGTAGAACCAAGCCGATTGAGAAACTGTCCAAGAAATTGAGCAGTCTGGAACACAACTTCACCTTCCATTCTCACCAATTCCATCGCCAGGACGGGACGAAGGAATGGATTTCCACTTTTAGTCTCTGAGCCATCCCCTTGAGGTTTAACAATCAAATGATCATAGTTTTATATTGGCAGTATATGTATTTTGCTAACTCCCGCCTCTCCCCTGAACGAATTGATTTGATACTGAAATCCAATTTTCCACTTGTATCCACGAAGGAGTGCGAAAACTGACACTTCTACTTCCCCTCCAATCCAGTGCTATGGATCTATGCAATAGATAAAGCACCAAACTGGCACCAGACATCACTCCGAACTATCCCACGAACGTTGTAACCCGAAAAGGCGTCCCTGCAACATATATTCAAGGGCACAATACGGGAATCACAACAAGGGACGGAAATAAATCACTCGCAAAGATCACCCAACGTCGTACGATGACAGACTTACAGTACCCAGACAAGGCTGCTGATAAGGTGTCTGAGTATTTACAACTGATCATTTCTCCGAATGGATTGGAGAATCAGCAGGCTATCTCGCAGTCTATTATTGCATCCATCTGAGAGCATGAGTGAGCATAACTCTCAGCTGAAAGTGCAGCTCAACTTGCGAATGCAACTTAGAAGGATGTTGGGCAAGAAATCCATGCTGCGGCGAAACGGCGACTGCTGCGTTGCACAAAACACGCAGTGTCTGCATCAGGAACTAAGTATTATGTTGTCC